CGCGGGGCAATGCGGTTGTACGATTTCAAGAGAATATAAAGCAAGGCGGGTCGCCACAGAGGTTCGCTTCCCCTCGCGGGCAATCGTTGCTCGCAATCGTGGCTCAAGGTGAACTTATCTCAAGAATCTGGCTCAAGCTGTTGCCTTTTTCGAGCTCTGCTGGGGGGCAACATCTTTCTCACATTTTACGTTCCGATCTTTACCCTGCACTCCATATTCATTGATACGTAATTGGCTGTATTGCTAACCTGTTCTCGTGGAAAGATATTTCGCAAGATCTGTCGTCTCCGCCTACGTCGAAGAACACCCGCAGGGCCAACACTCCCGTAAAGGATGTTCTGCAGCCGCTCGCGGGGAGAGCTGAACAGCACAGGATCCACAGTCCTCTACATGAGATGGACGGGCTTTGTGACGAGGCCAACCTCGGGGGTGCACCTCAACTCCATCGCCAATTTCGGGACAACTTGACGGCCGCGGCCGGAATCGACCAAGGAGAACTCGGATACGGAGGCAAAGGAGGAGGAGGAGCTGGATCGACCACTGCGGCAGAACCAGCAGGTAGAACAACAAATGCCAACGCGGATGGGCTCACATTGGGACAATCCAGACAAGTACAACGTGAACAATTCCTACCCCTTCAAAACGACATCTGGGCAATTAGGCAACATGGAGGTTCCCAACACGATCTTTGAACTGCAGTGCAACCACTACGGACAGCCATCGACGACATCTCTAGGAGGGTCACAGCACTTGAGACCCAAACGTCGTACAGGGCAATTCTTAATACACCGGATCTGTAAAAACAGAGGATTTTAAATACATGATTAATCTATGCATAAATTGATGCATGAACTCATCGTTGTTTGAAATACTAAATCCCTGCATTTTTAGTACATGATCCGCACGCGGAGCATGTATTAAAACGACACTTTACCCACATTCTGCTGATACAGGTTCCGCACGGAGCATGGGCAGCGCGATGGTGGCGAATATTAACGAGCTCGAGCGCCAGATGGCGGCACTCACCACGAACAAGCACCACGAATGCAACGCTGTCGTTGGAGGCTTGGGTGATTTTTCAAGTATTGATGAGGCCACGGACATCCTCAAGCAACAGTTTGAGCGCATCAAGCTGCCAACGCCCATCGATATTTTCACCAAGGGCGAATTCAACAACACCCTTTTCATGCAATTCAGCAACAATGCTGCCCGGGCCGCCTTTGTCAGCACCGTCGGGAAAGCGCAGACCACCCACAATGGAAACCCAGTGTGGACCCGGGCCGATCAACCTATTGAGAAGCGAGTTCCAGAAAATTTCTTGTTCGGCTTGCGAAAACATGTTCTGGAATGGGGGTATTCAGATTGAGAGGTACGTATTGATACCGACAATCTCACGATGAAGGTGGCGAAAGACCCGATTGTGACAGTGAGCGCTGCCAACAGCAGTCTTCGCATCTCTTGGGAAGGAGCGTGGAAGCAGTGGGAGGAGCTCACGAAGAGCCCCGAGGTGGAGCACCTGATCACACGTGCCAAAAATATGCTCGGACGAGCAGCCAATGGTAACGGGAAGGGGAACACATGTGGGGCGGATAACCATTAGGGGTCATGGCGGCGCATCGGCTTCCCAGGAAGAGCTCGAGTGGGCGAATGGGTAACATACCCATGCTGCCCCATGCAATGTGGCAGGATCGCCTCCTGGAGTGTCGAAGGCATCACCAACAGCAGTCCGCACAAACTTTTCGAGCTCATCAAGCACATGCGCGACTTGGACATTGCAGTTCTTTGTCTTCAATAGACACACTGCGGTGGTTCGGAAGTATACGAATTCGAAGGCAATTTGGTTATTCTATCTGGATCAGAAGGTGCTGGAAGAGAATATGCGGGGTGGGCTTTATCGTGGCACCCTGGGAACGGCGATCAAACAACATATACTTGCAATACAACAATCGCATGGCGAATTTGCGGGTACGGGTAACAGGTGTTCTTACTTATTGACAACGTACGCATGGACGAACACGCACGGCTACGACGTCTGCCGCGACTTCTACTCAGACTTGGAGCAATGTTTCGTGTGCTGCAAATCTCATGGGCCAACTTTATTGCCGGGCGACTTCAACGTCAAATTGTTGCGAACATTTGCGGGGGAAACTGAAATTTTGGGTGCACATGTGTATCGAAACTCGAGGAGCAAATGGGACCCACAATCAAACATAATCTGATGCAACTTTGCATTGCCACCAATGCGCATGGCGAATCTGTTTTTTCGATGTACCAGCGGAAACAAACATGTCCTACTACGACATCGGGTTGGACTTCATGGGGGCAATCCGGGCAAGAGATTTTGAACAACTGGGCCATGTAATTGTTGACTCGCGATGGCTTTCTAACGTACGAGATATCCAGACAGACCGGCACAGAGCTCTTCAATCACACCATTTCGTATGTGTTGTGGATTTGAACATTGACATGTCCCTTACCGTCCGCGCTTTACGTCAGCCACGACGAAATTGGAACGCATTGCGACGCAACCGTATAGCCGCAGACTACATCGAGGGCTTCATCAACAAAGTGGGGAACAAGCAACCAACCTATTCTTTACAACACAGAAGGCAATCACCATTGCAGAATGTATGCTTGAATCCTTCATGGAGAACTTACCCGTCGTCGCTACTCCGCACCGTCCTTGGATATATTCGCGGACGTTGTCTCTCATTGAAAGACGAAATCGGACAAGATCCATTGGAAGCCAAGCTGTGATGAAGTCTTTGAACAAGCAAGTGCAAATTTCTGCACGCGCTGATAAGAAGAAATGGCTCGACGATGCGATTTAAAATGGAGTCTGGAACGCGATCCGTTCCCTCAGGAAAAGCCAGCACCTCGCCATGGGCGGCTGCGAGACAAACATGGTGACTTAGTAGATGCCGATCAGAAGGCAGAGACCATGGCAGATTGCTTGGAGGACGTGCAATGGCAACTGTACGATGGGCCCGAAATCCTTCCTGAAGTCCAGCGCAATACGGCTTCCCTGAACATTTAGCTGGGGGCATATCACACTCGAAGAAGTTCGCAGAGCAGTCAAACCACTGACGGTTCAAAGAACAACTGGGAATGACGATGTGCCGCCGGATCTCTGGCAAGTTCTGTGGCGGAACAATGCAGCTTTGGAAATACTCGGGGAACTTTGCGATGGGTGTTGGCAGCAGAGGGAAGTGCCAGAAGAGTGAAGAGAAGCATCTACAGTCACAATATTCAAAAAGGGCGACGCGTCGCAACCAAGCAACTATAGACCAATATCGCTGCTGGCCGTTGGTTCGAAGGTACTCGCCAGCATTATTTTGCACAGGCTCAAATCAGGAGGAGTGGAGGACCGACACCGACAATCTCAATATGGTTTGTAAACCAAGTCGTGGGTCTGCTGATGCATTGTTCGTGGCACGCCGGCTCATCGATGCGACTCTAGAGGATAGGGCTGGGCAGCTTATGCTATTGCTCCTGGATTGGGCCAAAACATTTGATCGTATCAAGTCTGCACGCTTTGAGGCATTTTGGAATACATTCAGACATGATTGAGATGATCAGTGGTATCTATACCGCCCGCAAGTTCGTCGTATGAGGGGCAGACGCAACATCTTCGCAGATGTCGCAGAACGCAGGGATCTCTCAAGAATGTCCCTTATCGTCTTATTTGTTTGTCATCGTCACGCCTGTTCTTTTACGAACTGTGGATGAGAGAATGATTAGCAACGGCCTGTCGACACCCAAAACACCTCATCTCATTACGAATGACATACTGTACGCTGGCGACACGCTCCTGGCATCGGAAGACCCGGATACTCTTCAGACGCATCTAGACATCATTGCAGACATTGGCAGAGCATTCGGCTTGGAGCTCAGCGCCAGCAAAATAATACTGTTAAGTATTGGGAACGCTGCTACAGTATTTGGGCCGGGAGATGAACCGATTCAGCGCCAAGACAATGCTGTATGTTTGGGCGGGTATCTGAGTATTGACGGGAACCCCAAGACAGAGCTGACAAGACGTATCGGTGAAGCGAGAGGGTCTTTCCAACAATTCAGCACTGTTTGGAAGCACGCCAACGTATCTCGACAACGTAAAACCTTGATACTTGAAACGTGTATTTTTTTCGAATGTGCTGTAATGGTGTGCTTGAATCATGTCTGCTTCTCGCCGCTGATCGTAAAACACTCGACGGTTTTCACGCTCGGTGCCTGCGGAAATCTATACCATTCCGCCTGCCTACATTTCGAGGGTAAGCAACACTGAAGTAAAAGATCGAAACAACGTTGGGCGTCTATCGACAACTTTGTTGCAGAAACAACTCAACTATTATGGGAAGCTTGCCCGGAATCTGCCTAGAACGTTGCCTAGACAGATGGTCTTCCAAGAAGGGCAAGCGCGCGAGGTCTTACACAGATGGTGGAATTTTCGGCGTAGACGAGGACGACCTAAGCTTTAATGTACGCTCACGCTCTGAACATGGTGGGGGACGGTCCGGATCGTTTACACGTTCTTCTGAGAAGTATGCCCTCCCAATGGGAGGCCGCAGTGGTGCAGTATTGCAGGCTAATTTAGTTAAGTGCCCTCCTCCCCTCGTCGCTGTTGCCTCTCGTTCTCTCTCTCTCTCTCTTTCTTTTTTTCTCTCCCTCTCTCTCTCTCTCTTCGTGCATGTTGATTCGCAAATGTATTGGCATCCGCCGCCCAGCGTTGACCAACGTGCAATGTTTGCGTTCAATCGCGCTTGCATTTGCGATGTTGCTTTCTTAATGTTCCCGTGGTCTTGGTACTATCGTGTGGTATTTTTGACGATGCGCCGTCTAGGCGCGGCTTCTCCAGCCAGCCAGCCAACCGTGGCCCTCGCGGGGCCCTTGTGGCCAAAGAAAAGGCTCCCCCCTCGGGGGGAGGGGGGGGGAGTGCGGGGGAGGAAGGGGAGGGGGAGCGGGGCGAAGGAGGCTGTTTGCGAGTCCAGAGGGGTGCTAGGGGACCCTGGGAGGTGTAGGTAGCAAGGGCTCCACAGCATGACTGGTGACGGCCTCAAAGCTGCGATGCCCGACAGCGCTTTCTCTTGTAGGCTCGGCTGCGCAATCTGTGGGCGTCCGCGTCACCTCTTCAGACTGGCCTGAACACGAAGACAAAACGACCGACGTCACCCTCTGCTACTGAGGAAGAGTTAAAGACGGTGGAACTACACAGCAAACGTCCAACACGTTGCAAACTTGTGCCAGAACTTGTTCTGATACTTCGCTGAGCGAAAACAGCATGCGGTCGCTAGTGTTCAAAACGCGGCAAGTTAGGCGGGGGAGGGCAAAGAGCCGCTACACTTCGCTCCAGCTAGTCTGGAACACAACGCTGTCGTATGAACTGACTGCGACTCGCCATCACATGCAGATTTGTACACCGCGATGTGCAACTACAGAGCGTGCACCCAACGGCGAACTTCTGTACTTAGATCGCTGACGGCACAAGTGATCAGCCCTGTGACCACCGAAACCGAAAAATCTTCCAGCACCCTTGCGGGGCCAACAAGCCGCGAAGCACGGGTGATCGTACCAACTGCCATTCCCCGAACAGTGCTTCCGCTAGGGGTCCTACTTGTGCTGTGAGCGAGCGGCCATGGTTGCCACCGTCGGACGTTGGCGCGCTGAAGATGGCCGGCGCCATGTGGTTGGTACCTGGTGGCTTGCACCTCATAGAGTAGGAGCTCGACCACAAGATACCTTCCATAAGAAACTCAACCCTGAGACCCCAGCACGTCCATGTGGGAACGTCACGCTTTCCATCGTAGAACCACAGAAACCAAAGAAACCTAGGCACCCTGGAGGCAAGCAGGGTCTTTCTTGGCATGGGTTTCCACTGTACGCGCTGACATACAAATCCCACCAGCCTCTGGCCGCAGGCGGTAAAACAATGATTTCCTCTCCCTCCTCAAGCTTAAACCCCCTTCTTCCCCTCTCTGGGGGCGAACCTGGAACCATGACATCTCCTCCATCATCCATTGTAAAAACATGCAATTTGCACTTTGCGGCAACATCTGGCTGGACCATGTGCGGGCACCTAACGATCACGTTGCATGGTCGTGAGACAAGGATGCAAAAAAAAGGGGGTGCCGGCATATTGCTTGCTGCGCGCAGGCCCACCATCCCTTTCAAAAACAAAACTAGATACACTTTCCAGTGGCGATCATGCGCGGGTACCGCGCGATCACTTTGAGTTGCTATTTGACAAAGATGATGGGAGTGCCCTGGCGCTCGCGGCGCACCGCGCGGGCGTAACGCGCCTGGCCAGCGTCTACATTGGTTCCTGATGTAGTCAATGGCGGGTCCTGCCCATGCTGAGGCTCGAGTGCTACTTCTGTGGTGGGAGGGCGGGCGGGAATGAGCGAGACGGCTGTCATTCGGGGGGGGTAGCTTGATCACTGCTCCTTATTCCCCACTCGACAGGCGACCATCCAGGCCCCATGCCAACACACCCCCACCACCCCTTTCCAAAAATAACGCACAAAACATCTGGGACAAAATCTTGGGTTATGTTCGTGGGCTCCGCGAACACTCTGTATGGTGTTTTGAAAGTGACGGCGGGGGTGCCCGCATATTGCCTGCTGAAGGCCAACCATCCCTGCCCAAAAACATTTCACAATAGTTACACAATCCACATCGTGGCTAAATCTGGATCATGCGCGGGTATCCCGCGATCACTGCCCATTGGTTTTTGACAGGGGCGGCGGTGGTGATGGCACATTGCCTCCCCTGTGTGGGCACACCAGACACCGTGATGGCCACCCCGACACGATTGTGCATTGGTTCGACGACAAACATGGTGGGGGCTTGCATGTTTCCAGACGTGTGCTGTCACGTGCGCGGGCGCACCTGGCACACTCTGCGCGTGCCCCGAACGTGGCGCACCTGGCGAGGCTGAAGCATGCCGCACACTTTGCGAACGTGGAGCACGTGGCGCACCTGGCGCACCTGATGCGCGTGCGCGTGGCGCGCCAAGCACGCGTGGCGCACCTCGCTCCACCGTCGCGCATCCGAGGTCTGTTCTGTTCCCCAGTAGCTGTCCATCCAAAGACGGCTGCTGCGTATGCTGAGACTCGGGTAGCACTTATTGGTTGGGAAGGCGGGTGGGAGTAAGCCGCGCAGTTTGCGTCTGAGAGAGGTGTCTCGACCTCTCCCCCTAGCTCCTTCCCTGGGTCTGGGCGACTTCCCCCCCGCGTGGTGTCAGACGCCCTTTGGGGGCACAAGATGACTTCAAGATACCCCCCGACGCCCAAAGATGGAGTCCAAGATGGCTCGAAACAGCGGACAGTGTTAAGAATAGCCTCTGGCACAACTCCGAGAGGCCCCAAAACGACTCCAAGTGCTCTCGGATACCCCCGATGAGGCCTCCAAGAGGCCAATGCCATCCCTGAACCTGAAGAACATCAATGTGATTGCATTCTCGTCTTTTCGCCTCCCATGGGCGTCTGAGGCCTCAAGATGTCTCCAAGGAGCCCCACGATGAGCCCGAGAGGGGTCCCAGATGGCCCAAAGAACCCCCAGGAGGCCCCGCTCCCTAAGAGCGCTCCAGGAGGCCTCCAAGATAACTTTTTCTGCTTCCGAGAGGGGGGGGGGGGGGGGCAGGGCCCAAGATCGCCCCAAGAAGGCCCCAAGACACCCCTAGCTAGCCACAGGACACCCCCCGCGGAGCCCCAGTGGAGTTCAGAGCCGGTCCCAAGTGGACCCCGAGAGGACCCCCAAGAGGACCCCAAGATAGCCCCAAGAGTCCTCCTCTTCGTTCTCCTTCTCCTCCTCTCCCCTTCCCCCCTCTTCCTCATCAGCCTCGTCTTCCTCCACCTCCTCCTCCCTCCCGCCTCTTCCCTTTCTTGCTGTCGACGGCTGCCTCAGCACAGCACGACGAGGCCAGCAGCGCGGGGCTGCACAGCAAGCCCCGGGCGGGCGGGCGACCGCCCGCACCTCTCGCGTGGGGAACACAACCGCGTGAGGCTCGGGAGGCCCCTGGCCTGGTGACGGGGGCCCCGAGAGACAGGACGCCAGAACGCCGCGGCACCTGCGCAGACGAAATCAGAAGCAGCGGAGCTCCCGAACAGAAAAGAAGGCAACGCTCGCCAGATCAGGAACGGCTACCTTCGTCATCATCATCATCATCATCATCATCATCATCATCATCATCATCATCATCATCATCATCAGCAGCAACATCATCACCACCATCATCACCATCATCACCATCATCACCATCATAACCATCATCACCACCATCATCACCATCATCACCATCATAACCATCATCACCACCATCATCATGCTCATCATCATCATCAGCATCGCCATCATCATCATCATCATCATCAGCATCATCATCATCATCATCATCATCATCATCGTCATCGTCATCATCATCATCATCATCATCATCATCATCATTATGATTCTTACTAGTATTCCTGTTATTCTTCACTCGTAGCGTTACTATCGTCATCTTCAGCATCAGCATGGTCATCGTCACGGTTATCACCATCCACCATCACCACCATCACCACCATCTGTATTAGCTTCTTCATCATCAATGCCGTCACCATCACCATCACCATCTTTATCCACATCCTCATCCCCATCCTGATCACCATCACCATCACCATCGGCGTCGTCGGCGTCGTTGTCATCATCATCATCATCATCATCATCATCACCATCACCAATATCAGCATCATCATCACCGCCATCACCATTACCATCAGCAGCATCATCATCATCACCATCACCATCATCATCATCATCATCATCATCATCATCGTCATCATCATCGTGATCATCATCGTTACACCATCATCACCACCATCACCATCACCATCATCATCACCAACATCAACAACATCATCACTCTCATCATCGTAATCATCGTTTTCATCGTCATCACCACCATCACCAACAACATCAACATCAACATCGCCATCATAATCACCAACAACAACATCATCATAACCATTCTGACTCATGCAATTGCTGAATCACGGGCTCGTCAAGGCACCTGCGCATCCGTGCTGTTTCTTTCCGTTCGCTCTTGCTTTTCGATCCTCGACACCCCTCCTCTTTAAGGGCAATAAAGGTGGCAAGTGTAGAAGGAGGGGGGCGTCTAACAGGAACGAGTTTGTTTTAATCAGCTTGGGGTGGGGCCTTGTCGAATAGGAGGTGTTGCGCAACTCAGGGAGAGGCCTGCGCAGGGAGGGGGGGGGACGTTTAGAACCAATAATTCTAAAACAAACAAAAAAACAGCTTTGGGAGAGGCCATGTCTAATCGAGGGTGCTGTGCATGATGAGGGGCACGTCCAGCATCAAACAAATGTACTTACATCAAAGTGGGGATGGGGCTCGCCCAGCAGCGGGTGCCGCGCAGGGCCCTGTGCAGGAGGAGGGGCACGTCTAGTACACAAAGGCTTTTGACTACGTCAGCTTGGGGACGGGTCTTGTCTAACAACATGTAATGGTGCAGGAGGAAGGGCACGTCTAGCACACATGATCTTGACTAAGCAGCTTGGGGAGTGACCTTGCCTGCCAGAAGTTGCTGTGCGGCAGAGGGGGCCTGTCAAGGGGGAGGGGTACGTCTAGCACTGAGGAGCTTTTGAACCAGCTTGGGGAGGGTCCTTGTCTAGTAGAGGGTACTGTGCAACAGAGATGGCCTGTGCAGAAGGAGGGCCACGTCTGGAAGTAAACGAGCTTCTTGCACAAATCTGGGGAGGGGCTCGCCTGGCACGGGTTGCCGTGCAACAGCGGGGGCCTGCGTAGGAGTATGGGCGCGTCTAGCATCAAGGCGTTGTCTTTGAATCATCTTGGGGAGGGTCATTGTCTAATAGAGGGTGCTGTGCAATAGAGGAGGCCTGGGGCGCGTCTAGCACCAAGTGGTTGTTGTGATCAGAGTGGGGAGGGGCCTTGTCTCATAGAGGGTATGGTGCAACAGAGGAGGCCAGTGCAGGAAGGGCACGTTTGGTATCAAGGGAGCTTCTTGAATCGGATTGGGGATGAGCTTGCCTAGCAGAGGGTGCTGTGCGGCAGAAGGGCCTGCGTATGAGGAGGGACGCGTCTAGCACCACAGAGACTTGCTTAATTTGCTTGGAGACGGGCTTTTCTAATAGTGTGCCGTGCAAGGCCAGGGCACGTCGAGCACTTCATAATTGTTGGGGAGAGGGGTTTTGTCTAATAGAGGGTGCTGTGCAGCAGAGGAGGCCTGTGCAGAAGGAAAGGCGCGTCTAGTATCGAGAAGCTTTTGGCAAAACCTTGGGGAGGGGCTCGCCTAGCAAAGGGTGCAAGGCAGCTGCGGGGGGCCTGCGTAGGAGGAGGGGCACGTCTAGCACCAACGCGTGCCTGTCTGAATCCGCGTGGGGAGAGGCCCTGTCTCATAGGGGACGCTGTGCAGCAGTGGGGGCCTGTGCAGGAGGAGGAGCACACCTGGTACCCCAGATTTCGTAATAAAAGGGAGGGGGTCTGGACCCTCCAAGACAAGCCACTTCAGACCTCCCCCGCGGGAGAACCCTCCAAAACATCGTCCCCAGACCCCCCCGGCCCTCCAAGATAGCCTGGAAGAGATCCCCCCCGAAATGAGACCCCCCTCCCTTTATTACGAAATCTGGAGTATCAAAGGAGATTTTTGCAGAAGCTTGGGGGGGGTCTCGCCCGGCAGAGGGTGCTGTGCAGCGGCGGGGGCCTGCGTAGCCAGGGTCGCGCGCAGCACCGAGGAGCTGCTGTTTGATCGGGGGGGGTGGAAGGGCCTCGTCCAAGAGAGGATGCCGTGCAGGGCGCGGCGAGCGGCACGGCTAGTGCCCACAGGGATTTGTGAATCGGCTTGGGGAGGGGAGTGCCTAGCAGAGGGAGGTGTTGTGCAGAAGAGGGGGGCCAGTGTAGAAGGAGAGGCACGTCTAGCACTGAAGACTTGCTTTTGATCAGCTTGGCGATGGGCATTTTCTAATAGAGGGTGCTGCACAACACAAGGATCCTGCGCATGAGGAGGGGCACCTCTGGCACAGTGTGCTTTATTCATTAGCTCGGGAGGACAGGCACGTCCACAATTCAAACACTTTTTAAACATCACCTTGGGGAGGGGCCTACCTAGAAGAGGGTGTTGTGCTTCAGAGGGGGCCTGTGGGAGGAGGGGCGCGTCGAGCACCAAGGAGCTATTTTTGTAATCGGCGTGGGGAGGGCCCTTGTCCAATAGAGGGTGCTGTGCAGGAGGAGTGGCGTGTGGGGCCCTGTCTTGTAGAAGGTGCTATGCAACAGAGGGGGCCCGTGATGGGGGAGGGGCACGTCTAGCACCTAGGAGTTGTGTTAAGATCAGCTTGGCGAGGGGCATGGTCTAATAGAGGGTGCTGTGCTGCTGTGCAGGAGGAGGCGGATGTCTAGTATCCAAAGGCTTTCTTTCAGACTCAGCTTTGCGAACGGCTTGCCCAGCAGAGTTTTGATCAGCTTGGGAAGGACCTTGTCTAATAGAGGGGGCTGTGCAGGAAGAGGGGCACGTCTAGTTTCAAGGGGCTCATTGAATCAGCATGGGGACGTGATTGCCTAGTGAAACAGAGGGGGCTTGCGTGGCAGGAGGGTGCGTCGAGCAGTGGGGGCCTGTGAAGGGAATGGGCACGTCTAGCACCACGTGATTGTTTTGATTGATTCTGAGTTGGGCCTCATCTGATATATGATTCCGTGCACGAGGAGGGGAACAGAAGGGGCCGGTGCAGAAGGAGGGGCACGCCTAGCACAAGGGAGTTGTGTTTGACCAGCTTTTGGAGGGGCCTTGTCGAATAGAGGGTGCTGCGCAACAGAGAAGGCCTGCACAGTGTGAGGGGCGCGTCTAGCACCAAAGAGCCGTTTTAATTCAGCTTGGGGGGGCCCTTACCTAATACAGAGTGGTGTGGAGATGGAGGAACACGTCTAATACCAAGCGAGATAATTAGATCAGCTTTGGGAGGGGCTCGCCTAACAGAGAATGCTGTGCAGCGGAGGGAGCCTGTGTAGGAGCAGCGGCGCGTCGAGCACCAAAGAGATCTTGTAATCAGATTGGGGAGGGACATTGTCTAATAGCCGGTGCTGTGCTGGGGGAAGGGGCACGTACTGCACGAAGGAACCGTTTTTTTATCAGCTTGGGGAGGGGCCTCGTCTAAGAGACAGTGCTCCGCAGCAGAGCAGGCCTGTGCAGGGGGAGGGCCACAAGGATCTTCTTGTGTATCAACTCGTGGAGCGGCCTTGTCTAATCTGAGGCAATTGTCTTGAGAGAACTCTCGTCATCCTGACCCCTGGCATCCGAAAGAATGGGCCCGCCAACCGCCCCCCCAGTTCCGTTTCAAGGAAATCTGGGACATCCGAGAAATCCAGGAAATCCGGCGATGAACTCCAAACCGGCGCCTTCGCGTGGGACATCTTCAGAAACCCGGTCCCCCGAGCCTCCTCAGAGAGCTGCGACGCACTCCAAACCGGCGTCCTCGCGTGGGACGTCCTCAGAAAACCCAGGGCGCGCCGGGGCGCTTCGGGCGTGTCCCAGTCCAGGGCTCTCGCTCGAGACATCCTCCCAAAGTCAACCCCCGGCTGCCCCAGGCCGGGACTCTCGCTCGAGACAGCCTCCCAAAGTCGACCCCTGGCGCGCGAGAGCCGGGCCCCACCGCGCCCGGAGGGACCCTTTCCGAGGATCTGCCCGCGCGCGCCGGGCGCACCAGGCGTGTCCCAGTCCGAGCCCAGAAGGTACCTCCAGGAACTCTTTTTTGAAAGCACTTCCTGCATGTCTTCAACATCGAAGATCGGGTTCTCGGTCAGAGGCGCCTCGCTTTGAAGGCATTCCTGCGGATCCCCGCTTCCGTGTTCCCCGAGTCGTTGCGGCAACAGGTGGAGGAACGTGGCTGTGGAATGCAAGCTCGCTTCTGTTAGATGCCGCGCTAAGCCCTGTCACGCAAGCGCGAACACCTCATGCCGCTCCTCCTGAACTATCTGGCCTCAACCGGCGTGTCAACAGGGCAGGGGGCGGCGGTGGCTCGCCGCAAGCGCCTCCGATAATGACGTACAGGCGCTGCGCAAAGCATGACCTGCACATGTAACCTCTGGGAAAGCCAAAAGGTACGGATACCGCTACTCCCCGGACCTCTCCCGGGGTGCGTTCTGACCAGAATTTCGAGGCGCATCCAGCGGTGACGACGAGGGCCTCCAAGAAGTCCCCCAAAGGCGAAAACGGGGCGAGGGTGGCGGTATGGGTACGTACCTTCTCCTCCTTTGAACCTCAGCAGAGGCGACGTAGGCTCTGAGCCTGTCGCGCCCGACGACCCCGACAGCACGCCTGACCGGGTCGAGACCAGCCCCTCGCTGTCGGAGTGGACGTGGGCCTTACGCCAGCTGTGGAGCCCCGCCCGCGACACCGACGGCGAGCTGCTGTCGACCAGCCGCGCGGCGCAGAAGAAGACTGTTATCGGCACAGCGGAGAAGCCCAGCACGCCGAGCGCGCCGGGCTGGAGCCGCAGCCGCCAGTCCGCAGTGGCCTGCAGGTGCTCCGCCCAGTCCTTGGCGACGCGCAGGAGGGGACAGGGCGACAGGGGTGGGCGGGTGGGGCGGCCAAGTCTTTGGATGCCTCCCAGAGTTTGCCATCCGTGGACCTGCGTTTTTCACTGGATGAGGAGGAGGAGGGGGAGCAGGAGGAGGAGGAGCAGGAGGAGGAGGGGGACCGCGGTCCCAAAGGAACTGACCCCTTCCATGGGGGTGGGTGTTCGCCCCGGATCTTTTTCACCGCATCCTAAGTGGGGCTCTTGTTTTCTCTGGACACCCCGCGCAGTCCTCACCCACACCTTGTCCACTTCACACATTCGCACTCGTCACCATCATCAGCATCTTCATCATCACTCAATCCCTCACTCACTCATTCACGCACCCACTCATCATCATCACCATCATCACCGACATCACTCCCACACTCATTCACACTCACCCACAAACGCGCTCACACACTCACACAGTCACAGGCTCCTGCAAGCGGGAGCCTGGTTTGTGAATGAATTGCGGGGACGTCTCACGCGTGCCCCCCGTCCCCATGGGGCGCGCACTTCACATGTTGGGAACCAAAGCGGGTCATCCAAACCCTGTGAATGTCGTCATTTTTGGGTTCCTCGCGCCTGAATTTTGAAGACGCATCAGGCGGGAACCTCGTTTGTAAGTGACTTGTGAGGAAGCCTCAGGCGGGATCCCCCTCCATATGGGGCCCGCCCGCACTTCATGTTGGTAATCGGAGCGGGTCATCCAGATTCTGTGGCTGTCGTCACTTTTGGGCCCCTCGCGCCTGAATCTTCCAAAAAACCTAAAGCGGCAGGCGAGGGCCCCTCCCTGTGGGGCCCGCGCTTCATGTTGGTAATCGGAGCGGGTCGTCCAAACCCTGTGAATGCTGTGAATGTCGTCATTTTTGGGCCCCATTACGCTTGTTTTGGACAAAAGCATCAGGCGGGAACCTCGTTTGTGAATGAAATGCGAGGACGTCTCAGGCAGAACCCCACCCGATGGGGCCGCACTCCATGTTGGTAATCGGGGCGGGTCATCCAAACCCCGTGAATGTCGACACTTTTGGGCCCCTCGCGCTTGAATTTTGGAGCAGCATCAGGCGGAAACCTCGTTTGTAAGTGATTTGCGAGGAAGCCTCAGGCGGGACCCCCCTCCCCATGGGACCCGCCCGCGCTGCATGTTGGTAATCGGAGCGGGTTATCCAGATTCTGCGGCTGTCGTCACTTGTCCGTCACTTTTGGGACCCCTCGCGCCTGAATCTGGAGGAAACCTAAAAAACGGGAGTTTCATTTGTTGGTGAATCGCGAAGAAATCTCAGACGGGGGCCCCCTCCTTATTGGGCCCGCGCTGGATGTTTGTAATCCGAGCGGGTTGTGCGAAACCTAAACCTGTCGCCAATGTCGGGTCCCCCAGCCAAGCTTGAATCTTGAGGAGGGAGCCTCGTGTGCGAGTGAATCGCGAGGAAGTCTCGAACGGGAGCCTCCTCGCTATGTGGCCCGCAGCTCCATGTTAGAATCTGAGCGAATCCTTGGGATCTCGTAGCTGTCGTCAGTGTTGGGCTGCTTCTCACGAGCGAAGGGTGATGCGAACCCTCGCGGGCCAATCCGGAAAAAAGGTTACTTTTGTGCTCTTGAGAAGGCTACTCGCTCAGCCGAACCCAGTCCCCGACGCGGCGATGGCATCACCATCGGGTGCGCCAGGGATGAGGGCGCTGGTCGCGCGGGCATGTCGGACGAACAATGGTGGCTGCACCTTTGCGTCATGTTCTCCCGCGCCACGCGCATGCGGAACATGCCCTGCGGCCGCCCACGCGGGAGTTCGTGGAACGCGGGCCGCCAGCGTCCCTGCGGAAAGGCGCTCCGGGAATTCGACGAGATAAGGGAAAACTCCAGGACCGAAGCGGAGTAGCTCGCAACACGTCCGGGCTTCACGCTGCCCCCCGCCTGAACGCGGCTGCGCCCACCTCGAAGCCCGCGGGGGTGTCCCAACGGCCTGGCCCGCGGGGTTGCCCCGACGGCCCGCCCCCGCGCCCAAGCGGCCCGCGGGGTTGCCCCAAAGGCATGGCCCGCGGGAGTACCCCAAAGGCTTCGCGATCTAGCCGTTGGCGAACGCGCGCGTGCTGACCAAGGCGGCGACGGTGCCGAGGAATATCGACTTGCTTGCCCCGGCCAGGGGGGAGGGGAGGTGCACATGGAGAAGGGGCAGGAGGACGGTGAGGAGGGGGGACGGGGTAGGGGAGAGTGAGAATGATGAGGAGGAGGACAAGGAGGATACATATAAGGAGGAAGAGGAGAGGGCAGAGTAGAGGGCGATAGGAGGGTACTCGCCAGGGCGAGGGCTAAATGCAAGCTAAACAAACTGCCGTGTGGGGTCACACCGTCGGAATAATTGATGGTCCCGGGGTCCGTTCATGGGCCCGGTGGTGTGGCCGAAACCGAAGAGAAACGCCCCCGAGTTTACTTAGCCTGGCGGAACAACTAAACCTGATGCAGTTGTGAGCAACGCAGTTGTGAGTATCGTCTTCGGTGGAGTTCCCTATGGGGCCACGATGCGTGTGAGGGATGTACCGAAATTGGCGCGGTGGGAGCATGCGAACGCGTGGGAAGGGTGTGCCGACGTGGGTGTGGTACCGCCATGCGAACACAACCACTGGGGCCTTCGGTGGGACTCCCTGTGGGGCCACGAAGCGTGTGGGTGCCACGCGAGCGCAACCACTGGGGCACTCTGTGGAGCTCCCTATTTGGTCACGAAATAGTGAGTGGTGTGCCGACGTGGGCGAGGTGGTGCCATGTGAACGCAGCCACTGGGGCCTTCCTTGGGGCTCCCTATGGGGCCACGAAACGTTTGAGGGGCGTGCCAAGATTTGCGTGGTGGTGCCATGCGAACGCAGCCAAGCCCTCGGTGGAGCGTGTGAGGGGTGTGCCGGCATGGGCGCGGTGGTGCCATGCGAGCGCAGCCAATGGGGCCCTCGGTGGAACTCCCTACATCCCCAGGGCGAGAGTTTTTTCCTCTTGGGCCCAGAACGACGGATTGAAGTCTTGAGCAGACGCGCGTGGGATAACCGCTGTGAGAACCAATTGGATTCGCGCGGAACCAAGTTTGGATTTGGTTTCTGTTTCGGTGGATCCGATTTCCGTCCGCGCAGATCCGATTCAGGATTTTCTGGATCCGCGTCCGGTCCTATTTTTTTTACGGCGGATTCGATTTCTATCCCTTAACACGGGGAGCATGAAGAAATCGGATCCGCGGACACAGGAACCCGCCCGTGATGATATTCTACGGGGGAGGGGGGTTCGGTCATCAACTTCCCAAGATGGGCCCTGCGCTCTCGCGCGCTCTCACCAACTTTCCGCGATCGCGGGCCCTACTCAACATGAATACATCTCTCTCCTCCCGGTTGCTGCACGCACATCGTCCAGACGCCGTCCGTTCGGCGGAGCCGGTGTTATCTCGTGAACTCTCGTCGCAATTTTCACCTCAAGAAGGACATCGGACGTCCTTCGTCAGTTTAGGGCCACGAAGCGTGTAAAGGGTGTGCCGAAATGGGCGCGGTGGTGCCATGCGAGCGCAGCCGCTGGGGTCTTCGGCGGAGTTCTGTATGGGGCCACGGAACTTGTAACGGGCGTGCCGAAATGGGTGCGGTGGTACCATGCGAGCGCAACCACTGGGGCCTTCGGTGGAGCTCACTAATGAGCCACCGAGCGTGTGAGAGATGTGCCGACGTGGGCGCGGTGGTGTCATGCGAACGCCGCCATTGGGGCCCTCCTACGAAACGCGTGGGGGGTCGAAGTGGGCGCGGTGGTGCCATGCGTTCGCAGCCACCGGGTCCACGGTGGAGCTCCCTATGGGGCCACGAAGCGCGTGAAGGGTGTGCCGAAGTGAGCGCGGTAGTGCCATGCGAGCGCTGGCATTTTGGCTTTCCTTGGCGCTTCCTATGGGGCCACGAAGTGTGCGAGGGTGTGCCGGAATTGCTGATTGGCGCGGAGGGCAAAAGGCAAGGAGGTGGGAGGAGGGAGGGGGTGGAGGAGGGCGGGAGGAGGTGACGCGTGGCGCTGTGCGTTCAAAACGTGGACCCAACACCCAACACCACAGGATTGTTTGGACAAGTAATCATATTGTCGGCGATCTGGGAATAGGGCCAGGGCAACTGAGGTCGGGCACCGAACCGCCTCGCCGAGGCATCGGCGACGGCCGGACGGAGAAAATTGGGCTCCACATCGCCGATGAATCGGTGATGCTCGGAGAAGGGCGAGTGGAGACAACGGCAACTCAAAATCGTTCCCTGACCGCTCCCAGGGTCCAAGCGCACCAGCTTTCCAAGCTGCGTCCAGCCGTGGCGACGACGAGAGGGCCCCCCGAAGGCCAACAGCCGTTGTCTCAACTCACCCTTCTCTGAGCTGCGGCCCCTCACATCGATACGGGGGGGCTGGCTCAGAGGGATATAGCCAATCTGCACGTTCCTGGGCGGGGTTGGGCTGTTTGGCTCCTATCAACGATCAGTGGGCGATTGGGGTCGCCGCATTCCCCCATGAGCCTACCCCCCTCGATCGTTGCCCCTGAGTCTGTCGAAAGCCGACAGAACAGGACGTACGCGCCCAACCACGCACATGGACACGCTCCCCCAGTCCACGAGGCCAGCCTCGTCGCACGACTGCTCGCGCAGTGCGCACTTTTCGACACCCGCCAGGATTTCTGTGGCGGGTTCACAGGCCCGTGAACCAAACAACCTTGCCAGGAGGAGGAGGAGGAGGAGGAGGAGGAGGAGGAGGAGGAGGAGGAGAGGAGGAGGAGGAGGAGGAGGAGGAGGAGGAGGAGGAGGAGGAGCAGGAGGAGGAGGAGGAGGAGGAGGAGGAGGAGGAGGAGGAGGAGGAGGAGGAGGAGGAGGAAGATCTCTCTGGAGGCTAGTTTGTACTTCTTCCTCCGAGCTTCCGCCGGCGGAGGCGGCCTCGTTTTACGCCCGCGGCCTTGCGCCGCCCTTCCGCCGAGGAAGAGGTGCCAACTCCTCCTGTCCTCGAAGGCGAGGCCCTTGCCAGAACGCCTCGTGTGCATGCACGTCCCCTATGTGAGCGCTTTCTTATGCGGCGTCTCGACATTGGGCGGCACGGGGGGGAGGAGGGAGGGGGGGGTCTGGCTCTGGACCTCTGCTTAATGCGACTGCTTGCAACAGTGCGTCCTGCGGGGGGGACCCCACCCGCGGGGAGGGGGGAGGGGGGGGGTCTGGCTCTGGACCTCTGCTTAATGCGACTGCTTGCAACAGTGCGTCCTGCGGGGGGGACCCCACCCGCTTGAGAGAGGCGCCCGAAGCAGCCAAAATCCACTCCATGGGGGGGGGGGAAGGGTGCGACGGCCCGCGCCGGTCGGCAAAACAGTGAATGAGGAAACGATCACCACACATCTGGCTGCTCTGTTTGTTTTGGTGCGTGGGCCCTAAAAGGTCTGGACCACGTCCCCAGGGCCGGTTTCTCGTCCCGAGTCTTCTTCGGACGGTCCCGAGGCCCGGCAGGTGCCCCCGGAGGCCGAAAGCAGCCCCAAACCGCCCGCTCTCCAATTTCTGTTGGAGCGTCGGATCTCCAGGTCCTCCTCTCGCCTCTGAGCCTGGGCGGCCTGGAGTCTGAGGTGGCGGGGCGTCGGCTGCGCGCAAGCGTGACTCTAGGCAATGATGACCGTTGGTGCGCGGCTCTTGGGGGGGGAACGGGGCCAAACCCAAGCGCGCAGGCTGCTGCTATCGCATCGCACTCCGCAGTCGGAGGGCCACAGTGGTCGGGGATCTAATGACCCCGGTCAATGCAAACCTGGTCAGTCAGGCTTTGTAGGATCCTGCAAAATTCTGCAGGATCCTGCAAGATCCTGCACGCAAGCCCGGGTCAGTGCACCCCTGGCCCTGCAGGATCCTGCAAGTTCTGGCGCTCTGGCTGACCCCGTTTGCATTGACCCCCGTCTCAAGGCTCCCGCGAGGAACCCCTGGCGCGCAAGCGCAACGGGGGGGCCAACCGACGACGCCCGACGACGAAGGAGGGCGACGGACGACGACCGACGGCGGCGAGGCACCGACGGCGCCAGGAAGCGGCCAGGGCGCCCCCGCGAAGCGACGTGGGCCCGCACCACAGGGGACGCTGGCGAAGAGTCACCCTCACACGCGATCGAGGGACCGCGTCCTCGCCTCGGGACGCACTTGCGCACGGGCCAGCAAAAACCTGGGTCGGCCACGGCCCTGCCGTGAAGCCTGGCCGGCCGCTCAGCAGCTTCCAGGCCTGGGTCAGCGGAGGGCGGAAGGGAGGGATCAGCCCCGCGTGGCTCCCAAATCCAGGTCCGCTGGAGGGGACTAGCTGGAGGAGGGAGGGGAGGACTCCACAAAGTTGGGAAGGTCGGCCCAGGGGTCGACCTCCTCGTCCCACAGGCCCAGGTGGCACCCAGAAAAAACCTCAGGATCCTGGAGGACGTCCAGGCCAGGATCGACCCCCTGTTAGCGCTGATCCCCGTTAAGTTACCCTGAGATCAGACGGCGCGAAAAGTTGGAAACATCGTAAGCACGACGAGTGGAGACCCCCAGAGCCGATCTCTCTGCGCCACTTTGCGAGCCGGACCCGGCTGTGAGGGCCCCAGGGCCCGGAAAACTGGGCGCAGACGCCTGGCTCGAACTGAAACGAGACGCCAGGAGCTCGCTGTGCGTGAGCCCCGATCGCCTCCCCAGAGCGCGCCGTGCCGCTGGAGCCCGACCTCGGCGGCCCGGCGGCGGCGCCGCCGCCGCTGCCGCCCGCGGCGCCCTGCGGCGCAGAGCCCGGCGGTGCCCACGGCTCGGGGAGGCCCCTCGAGCTCGCCACGGGCGGCGCCGAGGGCGCGGCCGGGCCCGCGGGCGCCGGCCGAGCCTCGGCAGCGGGCGCCGGCGCGCCGCGGGGGCCGGCCGGGCCAGCGGCCGCCGGCACCAGGTCGAGGCTGAGCGCGGCGGCGGGCCCAGCGGCGACCTCGGGGGCAACGTTCGCGGAGGCCTCCCGGACGGGGTCCGAGCACGTTGTTATCGTTGTTATCGTTGTCATCGTTGTTATCGTTGTTATCGTTGTCGTTGTTATCGTTGTTATCGTTGTTATCGTTGTCCGAGCACCCGGGGTCGGGGCATCGCGCCGCATCGCCGATGCATCGGCGACCTCGGCGTGGAGAGGGTCGGCCTCCGCGTCGCGCCGCATCGCCGATGCATCGGCGCAGCGGTGCGAGCCTCTGACCCCATCTGCTCGGGCTCCATTTGGGAGGCCTGGAGTGAAGGAGTGACCGGATAATGGAGGGAAACATCGAGCTGGAATCGGTGACACATCGCCGACAGATCGGCGACATGCCTCCGCCAGTGAACCCGCGCGCTGTCTGGCCCATCGGCGATGAGTGGGTGACCGCGGGTCGATGCTGTCCCCCCTGAGCCTATCCCCCTTACTGCTGCCCTGGGGATGGGGAGGGGAGGAGGCCAAGATCTCCGACGATGTTTTTTTCAGACTGGGCGTTTTCCTTGATTTCGGCCCCTCGTCGGGTCCGTTCTCGGGCCCCGGGACAATCAAGCATGGATCTGGGACGAAACGCTACCCCCTGTGAAGCGGTCGGGACCTCTCGGGACGCGGGTCGAACAACCATGTCCGCGGATGTCAAGGGAGAGAGAGAGAGAGAGAGAGAGAGAAATAATTGAGCGATCACTTCGCTAAGCGAGAAGGCTGGGGCCGTGGAGGAGTGGGGGCGATAAGACCACCAGCTCGCAAGCGGGTGACGCAAACGACCACTCGCAGGGGCGGGAGGCCACACGTTGCGCCCGAGGTGAATGAGGATCCACAGAAGCCAAGCCAATGTCCAGAGTCTCTGCTTCAAGAGGTCCTTAGGCCAGCATGCTGCCGGAGAGTGGCGGGCAGACCCTGTCCACGCGCCTCGTATTTGAGGCCATTTCCAACGCTCCCCAAGTTTCACGGTCTACGCTCTGACTAGGCCCCTGTCCCCGTCTAGCGGCTTGCAGCCGCTACGCAATAGAGAGGACGAACCCTACCCCCCGCCGCCCATCGAGTTGCCTGCGTCGTGGACCGGCAAGGGTAGGGTTCGGATTTCGCCGCCGATTGGCCCCGTAGCCCCGCCTCGTAAGCCCCTCCAGGGGCTCGCTGTCGCCCGCGGGAGGCGTTCGAAGGACGACCGCCCCACGCGACCCGCCGACTTCTGGCACGAGCTCGCGTCTTGAAAGGCAACTGCCCTGCAGGCACGAAAAACGGCATAGACATGCACTTTCGAAGGTCCGCGCGGATTCCTTGGATCTGCGCTGGACCCCCCCTCCCTGGCGCGCGGAATGCGCCGGGGGCGGCGGCTGGAGACGCCGCCGGGGGGGTCCAACGCCGATCCAAGAACTCCGCGCGGAGCTGCAAACGTTGATGTTTATGCAGTTTTGTGTTCTTCGATGCAAGGAGCGCGAAGAGGCGAAGAGGCAGGACCACAAGCGTTCAACGGGGTTCAAGGACGTGGGCCGAGAGAGCCCCGCTTGGAGAAGGGGCCGCCCTCCATACGTGCAGCGTTGGTCGTATTGTTTGATGGCGTCTCACGCTTTTACACGTAATGCTCATGGCCAGAGTCATACCACTCAAGGCAGTGCCCAGAGAGAACCCCTTGTCGATCAATGACGACGCTCCAGCAGTGGAGCTGTTGCGCAAGTTTACACATCATGGCATGATGTTTGCAGCTGTTTCAAGCGAGAGCTTTTTTATAGACAGAGGCGATCCGAGCGTCGAGCTGCAATATAGACGCACTACCTGCCAAATATCAGGACACCGTCTAGGCGCCCCCCGGCGTAGAACCTTGGATGCTCCCCCCAAAAGAGGCTCCCGGCCGAGACCGCGGGAACTCGGAGACTTCAAAAATAATCCATGCATGCGTATTGCCTGCGCCAGCTGGGAGCAGGGAGAGGCGGAGGACAAGAGACAGATGTAGTCAGCGCAGAAGAAAAACAAGAGTAAGCGTGGCTGATGGTCGGAGGGACTGCCAGAGTCCAAACCCGTGCAGAAGAGGAGCCACCACGAACGCGGCCATTTGAGCGTGCAAGAAGTGCGTCTCAGACGTCGCCCTATGGGTGCGAGCTGTGCAACGGCGCCTCAGCTGTGCAGCACCCAAGCTGTGCAGGCGGCTCCTCAGCGGGACACTGCTCCTGCCGTGCAGAGCAGATTTGAGAACCGGCACACGGTGTGCGGCCGAGTCTCGCCGGCCTCGCGCCGCCACCTGGGGGCCTTCGCCTCCGCGAAGGTAGCAGCACGATCTAGCATCACCTTGTGATCAAGGGCTTGACGACTTCTGCCGTCCATCGACTCGCGCTGGGGCGCCCAAGATTTGCTCAGAATTTACAAAGATTTTCCTGGGTGTATCAAAATCTGCATGGATTCACCTTGATCTATCTGTAGCTGTCTTGCTTGATCCGGCTCGCTCCCCACAAGTCGACCGGCGAAACGTCGTCAAGCCCTTAGTGACCTTGCCATTGCCATGGTTGGGTCGCTGATAACAAGTGAAAGCCTTTTAGTTTGGCTCAGTCTGGAAGGCCTATGAGAAACACCCCTCTGGCCCTCTGGCCCTAGGCGAGCTGCGCCCAAATTGGAGCAGCTCATAAAGAAGCCTTCGGAGCCGCCTGCAAGGTTAAGACGAAGCCAGGACGAAGGACGAAGATAACATCGGGGGAGGATAAATCGAGAATCTCTGAGATCCGGCGGTTCTCATGGATGTATCGAGCGCCGCGGCCTTCTCAGAGCGTTCTAGAACGCTCTGAAAGCGTTCCAGAACGCTCCAGAAGGGATCTATCCTCGTCCTAGCCGAGAGAGACGGGGCACGATTTGTCCGCTTTTGTCTTCTTTCGAATGGGCATGTCCATGTCAGGCGTCGCTTCACACGTCGCACGTTTTCCGCAGCCATTTCGGGGCGAAGCGCGTCTTGTTTGAACAAGCCCCGAAGGTTGAAGCGCATAGATCCTCATTGTAAATCGCGGGCTCAGGGGGAATGTCCGCCCCCCTCCCCCCCAAATCGCCCCTTGACCGCCGATATGGACCAGGTACCCCACCCCGCCTGGGAGAGTGCGGGCCTGCCATCTGGGGCCTGTCGCCAAGCTGCCCCGTCCGAAAGATACTCGGCAGCGTGGAGCTTATGTCCACGCGGATATGAAGAAATATGCGATGTACCTCGAATTTTGCACCCAGGGCATGCAAGGCCCATAGGTGGGGCGTGCCACTGAGAATTTCGAGCCAGGCAAGTCTCACATAGTTGATGCGAATTGGGCATTGCGACCTGCGCGTCCCCTTCCCGCCTCCCCTTCCGAGGGGCAACGATCATGGGAGGGGGGGCTGCCTCAGGGGGGAAGCATCGACCTGGCAGAGTCATGGGTCGCATGGATCGGGGATGGACAGACCCCCCTTTAGCAAAACGTGGTTTAGTGAAAACGACCCGAGGCCCAAACCTGGCGGGCGCAAGCCTGGAAAATAACGGCCACGGCGCCCTCTCGAAAACCGAAAACGGACAATTCACTAATCGACGTGTCACTGTTGGGGGTTCTGTCCACCCCCCAATGGACGAAGGTGCTGCCCACATGTGCCCGATGTCCGCTGCTGCGGTGGTGCGGCACCACTGCCCTGCGCGCCGGGCGGGCGCGGGAGTGCCGCCAACACGCCACCACACATCGCCACAAGCAGACCTGCAACTGGAAGAGTAGAGGGGCCCAGGGACACACAAAAAAATACACACAAATCACAGGATTCCCAGTATTTTCCCATACCTTCGGGGTTTTTGTCTTCACCCCACTTCCCATATCTTTTCCCATGTTTTCCTGGGAGTCGACGATGAATTGTGCCTGCGTGCTTTTTCCCCTCCTGCAAGAGGCCTCGCAGATCGGCTGTACTCATGAACTGCACCACCCCGTCGGTGATCCATGGGCGACTGGGGGCTCGTTGCGCCTCTCCCCCGAGCCTGTCCCCCGCCCCTGGCGTTACCCCTGGCATCCGCCACCCTCGGCCCACTGCTCTCTTTCGCCGGCGGTATGCCGCAAGCGACGCAGACCACGAAAGAGCAATGCTGCTACGAAGACGCCCGTCCCAATCCCGGACATCCGGCTGCTCCGACCTTTCGATGCGTGGGCCCTGGAGGTCTGGACCACTTCCCCCCGGGCCGGTTTTTCGTCCTGAGTCGTTTTCCCGACGGTCCAGAGGCCTGGCAGGGCAGGAGAGCCCAGAATCCAACCGATGAATCGGATCGGCAATCGACACGAATCGGATCGGCGGAAATCGGCAGCCGAATCGGGAAAAGTCGAATCGGCGGACATCGGCAGGCTAGCATGCCTCCAGTTTGAAATCGAAATCCAAATCGGAAGCCCAAGTCGAATCGAGTCGGAATCGGAATCCATCGAAGTCGAATCGAATCGAATCGGAGGAATCGAAACGAGCCCTGGCAGGGGCTCCCGGAGGTCGAAAACAGTCCCAAACCGTCCGCTCCAATCTTTTTGGAGCGTCGGATCTCTGGGCCCGTCCTAAGATCTCTCTGGCCATGATGCTTGACGGCTGGAGCTCTGCTTCTTGGTGGGCGCTCTGGCCTGGACTTCTGCGCAGCTGCTGTCCCCGTGTGCTCGGCCCCACCCGCCCACTCCCTCCCCCAAGCCGTGCCAGGCATCCCCCTTCCCGGTGCGGGCGCGCCAAACGCGCGCGTCAGAAGCGCTGCCTCTGACCTCCGTCGCCCACAGCCCCACCTCAGAGCAGGGCGAGTTGAGACAGCGGCAGCCCGAATCGATCACCCCAGAGCCTTCCCGGGGTCCAAGCGCGCCAGCCACGGCACCCAGCTAGCTTCCGAGCTGCGTCCAACCATGGCGACGAGGGCGCCCCCGCGAAGGCCGACTACCGTTGCCTTGATTGGCCCTCCTCTGACCATCCACCCACCTCCTCCCCTATCCCAAGTGTGCGACGTCCCGACTTTCCGACACAAAGCTCCCAGAAGTCCCGATCCTTTCTCCAGGACTGGTCTCTCATCCCGAGCCCCTTCTTCGAAGGTCCCCGGGCCAAAACCTCACGCCGTGCATGACCAGGCAGCCGCGCCAGGCTTCCCCATGTCCTGGTGCTGGCGCGCCGCGCGCGCGAGCGTAAGATAGAGGCCTCCCAGATGGGGCCGAAGTACGGCAGGTTAGACTTCGGTGCCGACTTCGACGCTGGTTCCTGACACCACGGGGATCTTTCAACCTTAAACGATCGGCCGTCGATTCTGGGTCACTGGCGGCGTTCAATGTTGAATGTCGGCCGCGGGGTCGCCGCCGGTCGACACGTCGCGAACCTACCGTAGATAGGACGGAGGATCGCGCCGCATCGCCAATGCATCGGCGATGCATCGTCGAAACATTAGCGATGCATCGGCGACGTCGGCGATGCAGCGGCGACGTCCGCGTGGAGAAGATTGGGCTCCACATCGAGCCGCGTCGCCGATGAATCGGCGATGTGGTGCGATCCCCCGACCACATCTGCTCTGACCCCATCGGGGAGGCCTACAGCAGGTTCGTGTCGTGGCGACCCTGGCGCTGGTTCCTGACACCGCGGTGATGGCTCAACCTGGGACGATCGGACTTTTCCGAAACGTCCCCGCCGCCGCCGGCGGCGCCATCGGTTCAACATCGGCAGATTCCGGGCCGCCGCCGGCGTTCCACCTTGAGCGCTGGCGGCGGGGTCGCCGCTGCTCGACACGACGCGAACCTGCCGTAATCGGGCTTCTACTGGCCCGGGTCAATGCAAACCCGGGTCAGTCAAGCTCTGCAGAATCCTGCGAGATCATGCAGATCCTGCAGGATCCTGCACCTCAACCCGGTCCAATGCAGCCCTACAGCTCTGCAGCATCCTGCAAGACCCGGCGCTCTGGCTGACCCCCGTTTGCATGGACCCCCGTCTCTAGAGGCCTCCTAGATGGGGTCGGAGTAGATGGGGTCGGAGGACCGCGCCGAATCGCCACTACATCGGCGGTGCATCGGCGATGCATCGGCGATGCATCGGCGATGCACCAGCGACGCGTCGTCGACGTCGGCGAGGCATCGGCGACGTCGACGTGAAGCACATCGGGCCCCACATCGGGCTGCATCGGCGATGCATCGGCGACGCGGCGCGACCCCCCGACCCCACCTGGGATGCCTGGAGTCTCCTGGGCCCCGACGCAGCCCGTCAGGCGTCCCCCGAGAGCCGCTGCTGCGCCCGGGGGAGGCCGCCCGCGGCGAGGGCGTCGGGCTCCCGCGGGGGGGCGCCCGCGGCGCGGTGCGCGGCCCCCGGCTCGGGGGTGCTGCCGCGCGCGGGGGTCCCGCCGCCGCGCACGCCGGGCAGGAAGGGGGAGGCGCCGCGCTGCTGGATCGGGCGCTGCGGACGGCGTCCCTGGCCCGAGGTGGGCGGCGGGCGGAGCAGACGAGCGCGTTCCACTACTCGGAAAGGAACTTCTCGCAGAGGGCCTGGATCCGCCATTGGGGGGATCTGTGACATGCATTACACCGATGCACGCGCGTGTTTTTCGACCTTTTTCGAGTAAGCACCTCGCGAGTAGTGGAACGCGCTTGGTGAAGGAAAGGGCCCTTGCGAACGCGAGACGACATAGCAGGGGCCCCAGGCCCCAAGGGACACACATGAACCATCGCAGATGCCAGGAGTTCCAATCTTTTTCCACATCTCCTGGAGCTTCCTCTTCTCCCTATTTCTCACGGATTTTCTCATATTTCGATCGGAATCAGCGTTTGTTTGTGTTCGTGCTTGTGCTTCTCTCCTGAAACAACGCGACCTTACGCTGCGGCTTACGCGGGCCGCCAGCGCGGCATGCCACCTTGGGAACGAGGGCGCCTCCGCGCGACCTTACGCGGGCCACTTGCGCGCCAATGTCGGCGAACGACACCATTTTCTGCCGTCGCTCAGGTGCCTCCAGCTTTTCAAATCATGTTTGAGCCCCTGGGGCCCTCGGGGCCTCGCGAGGGGTGCTGTCGACGCCACCTGGGGCTCCCTGGAGATCCTGGGGACACCTTGGGCCAGGGACACCTCTGGCAACACCCGACTGGAGGAGGTCGCCCCATTCCACGGTGGAGAACCACGGGTGGCTCTGGACCCGCTGGCTGCCGTCGGCGCCGCTGCCCAGTCGCAGCGTCTGGTCTTTGATCAGGAGCAGGTAGACGATGCTCTTGGTCACGCTGCTGAAGTAGGGGGGGCACCGCGGGTCATGGTTGAGCACCTTCTCGCGAGTCTCCTTCGCGGTGCGCCCCCCGAAAGGAGTCTCGAACGCGAGCATTTCGAAGATCAGGATACCAAGCGCCCACCAGTCTACGCACCTGCCATGCCCAATTCGGGACAATACTTCTGGCGCCCTGTACTCCGCAGTTCCGCATACTGTGTACGTGCTTCCTTCGACTACTTTAGCGAGCCCGAAATCGATCAACTTCGCGTGGCCCAACGAGTCGATCATCACGTTTTCTGGCTTCAGATCACGGTGGACGATGCCCAAACTGTGAATTTGACAGAGCGCAAGCGTGATCTCAGCAGCGAAGAAATGCGCACACGCATCGTCAAACTGCTCGCTTCGGATGGCATAGAAGAGCTCGCCGCCGCCAAGACACTCCGTGAGTATGAAGAGGCGCGCATCGTCCTGGAACACGCCCATCAATTTAACGACGAACGGATGGCTAGCACGCCCAAGGAGCTGTGTCTCTTGCATCGCGCGTGCAACCTGATTCTCCCTCACGACGCGCCCTTTGTCGATTATTTTGAGCGCATACGGAGTGGTGCATCTGCCACTGGCAAGCTTGACCATACAAACCGAACCCATGCTTCCATCTCCGAGTTTTCTGACGATCTCGAAATCTTTCATCGTCCAACCCTGGCTTCCCGCCCTCGGCGAAGACTGGCGCGTGCTCTTGTCAGGACTCCCTGAGTGGCGGGGGCTGCGTGGCAACTCTGGCACGCCGGGCACGTCCTCGCCGGGGAAAGAGCGACTGCTGGCTCGGCACAGCACGTCGTCGAACTCGCTGAGTGTTCGGATGCTTGACCTGCTGAAGCTAGCCGTGGTGGAAGCATCGTCCTCGTCATGGTACTTGGACTGTGCGCCCGTCGCCACGTGGGTCTCCGACCTGAACTTCGCCCTGAACCGACCCCAATAGGACGATCTAAACATGGAGGTCGCCCTTCGCCGTGTGAGGCTGGTCCTCCGCCGGAGGCGGGGCCCACCGAACGGGGTCGGTCCCATCGTGCCCTGCGTCGCGTTGGCTTGACCCGAGTGGCATGGGCCAAAACGTCGCTACGGTGAAGCGGGGGCCTCATTTTGTAAAGGGGTCGTCCTACATAGGGGGCTGCATGATCTCTCAGGGCGGATGTGCGCGCAACTACGGCAAGAACAACATCTTGAAAACGACCGCTCTCTGTCCGTGCATGCGCAAGAAGCTTCTCAGACGAACGTGTGCGGAGCTACGGCGAGCGCCACCCTGTGAAACCTGTTCGCCCATTCGCCCTCCGCCCTTGTAGCATTTGAGCGCCTCTGCAACGAATGTGCGCGGCGCCGAGGTGATAGTCACATTGTGAAAACCACCCGCGCTCCTTCCTTGGGAGAACCCAGAGGTGCCGATACTGCCACTCCCTGGACCTCCCTGGGTGCGTTCTGACCAGAATTCCGAGGCGAATCCAGCGGTGGCGACGAGGGCCTCCCAGGAGGCCCCAAAAGAGAAAACGAGGGAAGGGTAGACCTTTTACTCTGGTTGGACTCTCAGGCTTCTGAATCACAAGCAATGAACAAGCCTGGAGCGAGAAACGCTGCGCCTGCCATGCCGGCACGTGTGGTGCGTGGACGGCGAGGATTGAGGTATAGGAGCCATGGACGGAGCGAGGGGTATGGAGGAGGAGAAGGGTGGCGGAGACGAGGGCGAGGAGGATCATGAGGTGTGCGAGGACGAGGAGGAGGAGGGGGAGGAGGAGGAGGAGGAGGAGGAGGAGGAGGAGGATGAGGAGGAGGAGGAGGAGGAAGGGGAGGGGAAGGAGAAGGAGGAAGAGGGAAGAGGAGGGTGATGAGGAGAAGGACATGGGGGAGGAGGAGGGGGAGGAGGAGGAGAGTTGGAGGAGACGGCGGAGCAGGAAGCGGAGGAATAGGAGGAGGCGGATGACCGCAGTGGCCATGATGATCAGATGTGTGCGAGCTGCACCGGCATGAAGTCCGAACATAAATGGAGCGTAGGCGCGGCAAAACCGCCGTGGGTCTCAATTGGGGGGACGCGGCATGCTGAGCCTGCTGGCTCCTTGGGCCGCGATGGCAACGGGAGGCTTCTGACGAAGACATCTCAAATCTTCTGACATCTCCGGCGATGCCGTCGTCGACATGCAGTCTCCTGGCTCGCGAAGGAGGAAGAGCAGGAAGAGAGGGAGGAGGATGAGGAGCAGGACGAGGAGGAGCAGGAGGAGCACGAGGAGGAACAGGACGAGCGGGAGGGCGGGGATGATGATGAGGAGAGTGAGGATGCAGAGGAGGATGCGGATCGGCCAATAATTCGGAGAGAGTGCAGCACAGGGTTGGATGAGGAAGGGATGGGGGAGGACAATGATGGGAGCAACAGGATAAGAAGCAGGGTGATACAGAAAAATAGGAGAGGGAGGGAATAGCGGCAGAAGGAGAAGGATGACGAAGGGGAACGCTGATCCCCATGATGTGTCTGTGCCTTGGGTCCTGACCCTTCACCGCGGGCGGAATGACGCCATATCATTGCAGTAAAGCCACATCCCCTCAAACAGGGTACAAACCTCAAGCTCACGTCACCTCCCTGGGCGTCGAGCACAAGAGGAAAACAATAACCTTGCCGAAAATGCAAAAAGAAGCTACCCTGGCATTTTTTGATTAACTTTAAGCTGGCAACCAACTAGGTGACACCATCCCGCCAACACCACGCGCTGCCTAAATGATCGCTCAACGCTCTCGCAAATCCTCCCCCCCGCGCTCAGGCAAAACACGGAACGTGATCCTCGCGTAACATACCGCACTGTACCGTCACATCGCTGGTGGTGGGGTCCCCTGCTCCCTATCCCCATGTCTTGCACACCGTCACAAACGCAATCATCATAATCACTTCGCAACACATTGCTGATACCTCTACACGATCCGCACCGTTGCCGTGACATTTACATGAACCCCCTTGCACGTGGATTTGGGACTACCTGGCAAAGGGCCGTTTGTCCACTGGTTGTGGATGGTCGGACGTTTGCGGGAACCGGGCAAGGCTGTGTTCATGCAAACATTCCCACTGCCCCTGGATAAACGCCACCGCCTTCTGCATCGCCAATGCTCCGCCTTCAACACAGTGCCTCTTTCCCCCAAGTGCATAGACTCGTGATACAGGTCCCTCCACTCCAACGTCGTCCCAGACCCCCTGCATCGCACACGTACGTCCATTCCTTCTCCCGTTGATCCCTGCCTGCGCTCACGGTCTGTCTGCACCCATACATGTAAAGGGACACATAATACCCGTTGCAATGTCGTACTCATCATAGTAAACCCTCCCTCCCTCCTCTTCCGTCGCAGCCCTGATGTGGCTAATGCATCGGCTCTTGTATTCAATTTCCTCGGAATGTGTTCCACCCGCTCTCCTCCTGGCATTCCTCACGGTCCCACCGCGCCACATCTGGTACAGTGCTCGTTGCATCCCTTGTGTTGCCAACACTCCCTTGGCCCTCACATGCAGCCACACCACACACCCAATCTACATTCAACTGACTGTCAGATTGTATCCAATATATGGCCTGGAGAGTACCTGGTAATGGGAAGCTCCAACCAATCGGTCGCTCGTGAGCACACCGGCGGGACTGTTGCTGTTGTAGCTGAGTGCGTGCAATTGTCTGCCATGCACACCGTACTTCTCGAGTGTCCCCTCAGCCCAGCGCGGCCCGAATAGGTCCATCCACCTCGCGAGGTGGCCTCCAAGCCGCTCTGGCGGGACACCCTGGAGAGGGAAACAGCTCATTGAAACACTGCTCAACCCACTCGCCCCCCCCCCCCCCAACAGAATCATATATGTTCCCGGGCTCCCGGCCCACGGGCCACCCCCCCCTCCCCCCCAGCTGGGATGGTCCCAGGGTCCCTCGGGCTCCCCGCCCCTTCTTTCAGATGGGATGGGGGGGGGGGCGACGACGACGACGACGACGACGACGACGACACGACGGCGACGACCACGACCACGACCACGACGACGACGACAACGACAACACCGTTCGCTCTGGCTCCCTGAAGCACTGCAACACCACGCCACACCCAGAGGGAGGCGACGACGGGCGGCCAACGGAAAGGGGTGCGTGATACAGGTTGCGCGACACCCATGGGCGGACGCGAACCACCAACGAAGGGCAGCGGAGACTCCCGGGCACGAGCCGCAGGCCTCAAAAGCCGCTCGACCTTCCCTTGGAACCCATGGCCCCCCAACGCGGGGACATCAGGGATGGCAACGACCTGGTTGTGGTTGATCCGAAAGGATCGGACTAGACAAATCCTCCAAAACGGGGGGTGCCCAATGCAAGCGGAACAACACTCGTTGTTGTGCACACAGCCGGAAAACGGTTCACGGGCCCCAGAGATGAGAGGACGTTGAGGAGGAGGGGGAAGAGGAGGAGGAGGAGGAACTGGATGATGAGGAGGATGCAGCTGGGAATGGGATGCAAAAGGGGGAGCATGACGGGATGAGTAGGATGAGGTCGTGGCGGAGAAAAGAAGATAGTAGGAGAGAGACTCAGTCAGGATGGGTAGCGGCCGAAGAATTAGGAGATGAGGACGAGGAGGAGGAGCAGGAGAAACTGGGGGATGGCGTCGGGGAGGACACTTGGTGTAGGAGGACGAAGGTGAACATCCAGTAATGTAGAGTAAGTTGCTCTCGTCCTGAGCATCATTGCTCGTCTTGTGTAGCCAACCAACACATGTTGTTACGCTGCTAACTAATGCTGCGAGTACGCGAAGTTTAGCCACCACGAGCACACTCGCGCATATATAGCATGGCCGATGACAGAGGAACAAAGAATCATACTCACCAACTTAATTACAACCCGCCTTACATGTTCTGATCGCGGAGAGAACGCGTTTCACGGGCGCTTGCCCTGGGAACATTCGGCGGCGCGTTTCAAACCAGGGGGTGGGCCCCCCCCCAACACTCGGCGCCGCCAATCAAAACCAAGGGGACTCCCCTCCTCCCCAACCCCCCCCCTCCCGAACCCCCGCTCCCCTCTGCCAAGGGGGGGGAAAGGTTCAAAAACCCCTCCCCCTCCCCTCGGCGCCGGCGCCGGCGGTGGCGGCCGCCAGCAGCGCCCACGGCGGGGACGCAGCGACGATGACCGGAGGCAGCTCAGAGGGGGGGTGTTCAACCCCCCCCCCTCGCGCCGGCGTCGGCGCTGGCGGCGGCCAGCAGCGCCGGCGCTGGCGCCAGCGACGGCGGGGACGCAGCGACGATTACCGCCACTACCACCACCCCCACCACTACCACCACCACCACCGCCTCAACCCACCACCACCACCGCCACCAACAGCACCACACAACCACCACCACCACAACCACCACCACCACCACAACCACCACCACAACTCACCATCACCACCACCACCACCAAAAAAACCCACCACCACTACCACGACCACCACAATCTACCACCACCACCACCACCGCCACAACCACTACCAGCAACACAACCCACTGCCACCACCACAAACCACCACACCACCACCACCACCGCCACCACCTCCACAACAACCGTCCACAAACCACCGCCACCACCACAACCCACCACCACCACCACAAACCACCACAAACCAACACCACAACCACCACTACCACAACTCACCATTACCACGACCACCACAAGAACCCACCACCACTACCACCACCACCACCACCACAATCTACCACACCACCACCACTACCGCCACAACCACCACCACTACCAGCAGCACAACCCACCACCACCACCACAAACCACCGCACCACCACCACCACCACCACCACCCCCGCCACCACCACCAACAGCACCACTTCCACAAACCACCGCCACAACCACAACTGACCACCACCACCACCACAAACCACCACCATACCACCACCAAACCACCACCACACTCACCACCACCACGACCACCACCACAAACCACCACCACCACCACCACCACCACCACCACCACCACCACCACCCACCGCCACAACCACCACCACCACAACCACCACACCACCATCACAACCACCACCACCACCACCACCACCACCACCACCACCACCACAACCCACCACCACCACCACCGTCGTCCTCGTCGACGTTCCCCGCCACCGCCGCCCGCCGCCGCAGGCGCCGGCCGACGCCGGCCCAGAAATGGAAATCGTCGTCCCCGCCGCCGTCGCCAGCCGCCGCCGACGCAAGCGTCGGCCCGAGGAGAGGGGAAGCAGGGGGGGGGCGGGGGGGGGGGGTTTGAACCACCCCCCTCCGTCACGGGAGGTGGGGGGGTTCGAACCCCCGCCTCCATCCAGGGGGGGGGGGTCGGGTTCCAAACCCTCCCCCTCCAAGCGACCACAGAACGCGCTCTTTCTGATCGCGGAAGCTGCGCCATCATCTGTATGTGAATGCGGAGAGGGAGAGAGAGAGAGAGAGAGAGAGAGAGAAAGAGAGAGAGAGAGAGAACAAAACCAATGAAACAACAACAAACAAAGAGCGATCGAGAGCGAGAGAGAGAGAGAGAGATATATATATATAGAGAGAGAGAAAGATAACAAAACAATGTACACACAAGATGCAGAGAGAGAGAGAGAGAAAGAGAGAGAGAGAGAGAGAAAGAGAGCGATAAGGGGTGGGGAGAGAGAGGGATATATATATATATAGAGAGAGAGAGAGAGAGAGAGAGAGAGAGAGAGAGAGAGAGAAAGAGAGAGAGAGAGAGAGAGCGCGAGAAAAGAGAGAGAGAGAGAGACCGAGAGAGAGAAATAGAGAGAGAGAGAGAGAGAGAACGAGAGAGAGAGGGACAAGGGGAGAAGGAGGGAGAGGCATCAGTAGATGACCATCTGAAAATATCGATGGATATAAAAAATATAGGTGAAACAACCTAGATCGATACATACACCCGCGTAGCGGCTCTTTTTATGACTTGTACGGCACACCTATACATACACGCGCATCTCCATGCGGCACACACATTTTGCAAACCTGGTTAACATAACACTCAACCTGCGGTCGACTTCCGAAGCTCGATACGGGCACATGTGATCAACCGAAGGGTGTACCGAAGCACGTCCGATCAAGCTCTTCTTGTTCACTCCAGCACAGATGCGCGCCATCTGGGGGTGCGCTGGTGGAAACGTTCCTGGCAATGTGTGCGCACCAGGGTGCTCGTGACTGCTGTGGGCACAGACGGAACACATGGGACGTGCGAGAAA